TCATGTGTCTCTCTTCATGTGTCTCGCTTCCCGTGTCTCTCTTCCCGTGTCTCTCTTGACGTGTCTCTCTTCCCGTGTCTCTCTTCCCGTGTCTCTTTTCCCGTGTCTCTCTTCATGTGTCTCTCTTCATGTGTCTCTCTTCATGTCTCTCTTCATGTGTCTCTCTTCATGTGTCTCTCTTCATGTGTCTCTCTTCATGTGTCTCTCTTCATGTGTCTGTGTCTCTATTGTGTCATCTATCATCTCTCTGTGTCTCTGTCATCTCTCTGTGTCTCTATCATCTCTCTGTGTCTCTATCATCTCTCTGTGTTTCTATCATCTCTCTGTGTCTCTGTCATCTCTCTGTGTCTCTATCATCTCTCTGTGTCTCTATCATCTCTCTGTGTCTCTGTCATCTCTCTGTGTCTCTGTCATCTCTCTCTGTGTCTCTGTCATCTCTCTGTGTCTCTATCATCTCTCTGTGTCTCTATCATCTCTCTGTGTCTCTGTCATCTCTCTGTGTCTCTATCATCTCTCTGTGTCTCTGTCATCTCTCTGTGTCTCTGTCATCTCTCTGTGTCTCTATCATCTCTCTGTGTCTCTATCATCTCTCTGTGTCTCTATCAACTCTCTGTGTCTCTATCATCTCTCTGTGTGTCTATCATCTCTCTGTGTCTCTATCATCTCTCTGTGTCTCTGTCATCTCTCTGTGTCTCTGTCATCTCTCTCGGTCTCTGTCATCTCTCTGTGTCTCTGTCATCTCTCTGTGTCTCTATCATCTCTCTGTGTCTCTGTCATCTCTCTGTGTCTCTGTCATCTCTCTCTGTGTCTCTGTCATCTCTCTGTGTCTCTATCATCTCTCTGTGTCTCTATCATCTCTCTGTGTCTCTGTCATCTCTCTGTCTCTATCATCTCTCTGTGTCTCTGTTATCTCTCTGTGTCTCTGTCATCTCTCTGTGTCTCTGGCATCTCTCTGTCTCTCTCAACTCTCTGTGTCTCTATCATCTCTCTGTGTCTCTGTCATCTCTCTGTGTCTCTATCATCTCTCTGTGTCTCTATCATCTCTGTGTGTCTCTATCATCTCTCTGTGTCTCTGTCATCTCCCTGTGTCTCTATCATCTCCCTGTGTCTCTATCATCTCTCTGTGTCTCTGTCATCTCGCTGTGTCTCTATCATCTCTCTGTGTCTCTGTCATCTCTCTGTGTCTCTGTCATCTCTCTGTGTCTCTATCATCTCTCTGTGTTTCTTTCATCTCTCTGTGTCTCCATCATCTCTCTGTGTCTCTGTCATCTCGCTGTGTCTCTGTCATCTCTCTGTGTCTCTATCATCTCTCTGTGTCTCTATCATCTCTCTCTGTGTCTCTATCATCTCTCTCTGTGTCTCTGTCATCTCTCTGTGTCTCTATCATCTCTCTGTGTCTCTATCATCTCTCTGTGTCTCTATCATCTCTCTGTGTCTCTATCATCTCTCTGTGTCTCTATCATCTCTCTCTGTGTCTCTATCATCTCTCTCTGTGTCTCTGTCATCTCTCTGTGTCTCTATCATCTCTCTGTGTCTCTGTCATCTCTCTGTGTCTCTATCATCTCTCTGTGTCTCTATCATCTCTCTGTGTCTCTGTCATCTCTCTGTGTCTCTGTCATCTCTCTGTGTCTCTATCATCTCTCTGTGTCTCTAACATCTCTCTGTGTCTCTATCATCTCTCTGTGTCTCTATCATCTCTCTGTGTCTCTATCATCTCTCTGTGTCTCTGTCATCTCTCTGTATCTCTATCATCTCTCTGTGTCTCTATCATCTCTCTGTGTCTCTATCATCTCTCTGTGTCTCTATCATCTCTCTGTGTCTCTATCATCTCTCTGTGTCTCTGTCATCTCTCTGTGTCTCTATCATCTCTCTGTGTCTCTATCATCTCTCTGTGTCTCTGTCATCTCTCTGTCTCTATCATCTCTCTGTGTCTCTGTCATCTCTCTGTGTCTCTGGCATCTCTCTGTCTCTATCAACTCTCTTTATCTCTATCAACTCTCTTTATCTCTATCATCTCTCTGTGTCTCTGTCATCTCTCTGTGTCTCTATCATCTCTCTGTGTCTCTATCATCTCTGTGTGTCTCTATCATCTCTCTGTGTCTCTGTCATCTCCCTGTGTCTCTATCATCTCTCTCTGTGTCTCTATCATCTCTCTGTGTCTCTGTGTCTCTCTGTGTCTCTGTGTCTCTCTGTGTCTCTGTGTCTCTCTGTGTCTCTGTCATCTCTCTGTGTCTCTATCATCTCTCTGTGTCTCTGTCATCTCTCTGTGTCTCTATCATCTGTCTGTGTCTCTATCATCTCTCTGTGTCTCTATCATCTCTCTGTGTCTCTATCATCTCCCTGTGTCTCTATCATCTCTCTGTGTCTCTATCATCTCTCTGTGTCTCTATCATCTCTCTATCATCTCTCTATCATCTCTCTCGCTCTCTCTCTTTCCATATGTCTCTGTGCTTGCTTCCCACTTCCTCTGGTTCTCTTTGTCTCTCCTGATTACTCTCTCCATTTCGTTATCGTTTGTTTCAAATAATGCCTACCTTGTCTGTGTTAAAGTTAATCCACGTGTGCACATAGCCTGGCACAAGCGCTGTGGTGACGTCACCGCCACTTGGTGGCAAGTGGTGGTGGTTGTTGTTACGTGTGGGGTGGTGGTGTAATGGTTCGTTAGCTGCTGTGCTACGAACCTGGAAGCCAGAGTTGGAGTTCTGCTCACAGCGAACACCAGTGACGATTATCTGAACTAGTCCTGGGCGCCCCTAGGTCGACTCAGCCTCACATAGGTACCCTGGTGCACTGTGTAAACATCACCACTGGGGAGACAAAGGCGGTCAGGCGTGGTGCTGGCCACGCACCCCCTCGTGTGCCGTGCCGGCCTTCATAGGTGCTCGCTAACAGCACTTGCCCCTACAGTCTGTTAAGGCTACACGGGGAATCTTTGTCTTTGTGCGTAAAAGTGGCAGGTCGCACGTGCGTGTTTGGCGTAATTATTACTTTTACATTGACGTGGTGATGTATGGGTAGTGCCATCAGTAGGTGCCGTCCAACAGCCACATTCATATGCAGGGATGCAGGATACAAAACCTACCCGTGTCCCTTTAGTCTCAGCTTTAAAACGAAACGACGCACATTTGGCCGTTCACACTGCGGCAGTGTCAGGTAAAACAAGAAAAAAAATCCATTCTGATTCGAGTGAACATGTTAATGCGTGTGATCGTGTTAATACAATATTAGGGGCACAACATTATTTATTTTTGGGGCGCCACGGTGGCTAGGAGATGTTTACTACCTCGCCTGGTGTACAGGGGATCGTGGGTTCGATCCCAACCCTGACGCCTGCATTTTGGAGTTTGCGTGTCTCTCTCTCCCTGTGGTCGTTTGGATTTTTCTCCGGGTCCTCCGGTTTTTCCCTCCACATTTGGAAACACGCGTCTAGAGTATTTTGCTACTGCTATAAATGTCCACGTGATAAGCCACTTCGTTGAGCTATCATTTGTGGTCAGGTTGCTTGTGAAAAGGGGCTGTATAGTTCAGTGGGCCTTACCTGGTAAAATAAAAAATAGTTTAGTATTTAATTGTTCTTAGTTTAAGAGATTGCTAGTTTTGAGAAAAAAAATTACCAACAAAGTATAGGGTAGTGTATAGTAACGCAGGGTATAATTCAATGTTGGGGTCTGTCTATGGCAGTTTATAACACGGGGTATAGTCGTGAGATGTAAGAAAAAAAGATTGGTTGGAAGCATATATTTTTTGTGACATAGAAGTGTAATGTATAATGACATTGTTCGTAGCTCAGCTTAGTGGAGAATATATTGAGTACATTGATTATATTGATGTAGTTTATATTTAGTTCTTTCACATCGGCTTATTGTATGATAGTTGGGTAGTTGCAGTTCTTTATCGTCAATATACTAAATGCCTCTGTTGATATATAAACTCTGACTTTAACATAGCCACTTCCGTGACCAGTTACATGCTAATTCCTCCCATTAACATCAAGCTAATCTCCCAGTTACATGCTAATTTCTGACTTTAACACCCTGCTAATCGAACACATTAACACAGCTACTTCAATGCTAAATTATTCTGTTGATATGTAAACTCCTTTGTCAAGGCGCTCTGCTCCTCCCACCCAGCTTAAAATACGCTGCCAAGCTTAGCAGTGTTCATTGGAGCGCTGTCTTTCCGACAGTTCTGTTTCTTCACCTGAAGACGGCTGCTTGTGTTGTGGCCGAAACGTCGTGAGAATTTTATTTAATTGGTTTATGTTTATTATTTTATTATTTTATTATTTCCCTTCTACGTGACTTTACCGAAAGAACCAAGAAGATGGATCCCTGCAGTCACGAAAGCTTTAAATCAAAATGTTTTGTTGTTGTTTGTTGTTGCATGCGGTTGATGACATGTGCGCGGGCAGCAATTGGGCGTCGTGACTTTTAAATTGTGTCATGTTTACTGTTGCGGACGATCAACACGTTCGTGTATTTGTCAGTGACTTGATGTTGTTTGTGACATTGTTGTTAACTCACTTTATTATTAAGGCAGCGCTCATTACACATGACGCGCTTGTCACTAATGAACCACAACGCCTCGCGGATCTCGTCAAGGAGCATGAAGCATCATCACGCGAACTCCGGTGGTAATCCTCGCAGCAGCAGCGGCTTTTGGCTGCTCGCCCTCGAACAGAAATGGTCACTACATCGCGCGCTTTCAGATGCGTTTATGCGGCCATCTGGAACGCTCCTCATTCCGATATTCGGAAGCCACTGGAGCTATGCACTTTTAGACCATCTAGATTGAAAACTCATTTCTTTTAAAACTGATTTTTGTGTTTAGTTTGTTGTCCTTCTCCCCGCACCTCCGATTGGCACGGTTGACTACGTACGGTGCATAAGAAGTTCATACGTACGTGCTCAGCGGAGGCCTGTAACGGCGACGGTTTACGTTTCTGCCGATGTAACTGCCTCCTGGCCATCCACCGCACCGTGCTCGCGTCCCGCCCGCAGGTGCCGCTGGAGGCGACGCGCAGCTTCGTGGAGAACCGGGACGGCACGTACGACGTGTTCCGCAGCCCGCAGCCGCGGACGGACGAGGCCGGGGACGCGTCCGGCCGGGCCGAGAAGCAGCAGCGGGCGGCCATCCGGCCCCTGCAGCTCAACACCTTCCTCAAAGTCGGTGCGTGCGCGCGGATGCTCCACGGTTCGGCTGAATTTTGTTTGGATGGACGGCCGGAGGCACCCGCGATCTAGCGTTTTGAATCCAGATGGGGCGACCCACACTTGTCCCCTTTCTCGTTCCGATGACGTACGCGTACATCATGTACGCGTACATCACGTACGCGTACATGATGTACGCGTACATCACCAAAACGAAGCCGGAAGAAAATGTAAAATAAAATAACTTTGTCGGTAACGAGGCTCCCGCACAGTTTGGACATCTACTGGACATCTGTGAAAAATAACTTTATAGCTCATCGGATTCCAGTATAAATACATATTTTGATTCCATTCGGATTCTGTTTGGTGCCAGCTATCATAGAGTGTGGTTGTGTCACTACGGTTCTCTGCGGTGAGGACAATCGCTTAAAAAAATGCCTCTAAATAAAATTCACTCTGAACTGCTTGCACGTTCCCAGATTCCGCGGTTAACGGGACCCAACTTGCAGACATCTCGGAATGGGAAAGGGTTAAGGCTGCTTTCTCAGATGTCAGTCGAGGATCTTATGCAGGGCACCAGTGACTTGACACAGAACTTTATTCGGCACACTCCCAAAGGTAAAGCCTCCTCATGTTTTCTCATTAATTCGATAACTTTGTCATTCTATTTTTATGAATTAAGTCGGCTAGAGCCGGCCCATGATTGGCTGCTCTGACGATGCTTGCAAATGCTTGCGATCTTGATTCGCGGTTGTTGCATTTGGCCGGAAGCGTCGAAAGTTTCTGTTTCTGCGAAACACCATCGCCACCGGCGCACAAGCTCGCGAGTGGAACGCACGCCCGGGATCCCATACCTGCAAAAAGAGTCGGTGCGCCTTCAGGACAGATGACCACCCGGAGTGGCTAAACTTGATCGCACTGGGCGAAGGATGAATGATGTGAGAGCGGCGATGTTGTTTACACAGGGTATACGCAGTCGTAAGCCCTCGCCTGGTATGCAGGAGGTCATGGGTTTGATCCCAACTCTGACGCATGCTGTATATTTTGAATTTGCGTGTCTCTCTCCCCGTGCTCGCGTGGATTTTTCTCTGGGTCCTCCGGTTTTTCCCTCCACATTTAGAATCAGCGTCACCACGCGTTTAGAGGATTTGGCTGCTATCAATTTCCACATGAATAGCCACATCGTTGAGCTATCATTTGTGATATCCAGGTCGCTTATGAAAAATAGCTACACAACTCAGTGGGCCTTAACTGGTATCATAAAAAAATCGCTTAATACTCCCAATCAGAGGATATCTGTGCCTTCAGTACACTTGAAGATGTGTTTATAGTAACGTCGGCGCCAGTGGTGAAGCCAACATGCAGCGTGCTGCTTACTTGACTGAAACTCACACGTTGCAATAGTTTAAGATCACCCGGTTCTCGTCTGACAACGGTTAGAGTTAGCGCGTCGATAATTCCCGTGGAAAAGAAGCATTTAAACCACAAAGCGTAACGAATTGGGCTTTGTACGTAATTATAGGTCATTTATGTTTTTAATCCTAGAAAGGCTTAGGTGTATTGTGTGTTTTAATAATCAGGGTTGATCTGGCACAAGCACGGAGAGGAGGAGCATTTTTCCTTCATCGCCTCCTCGAGACGGCGATTGATTTCAGCGGAGGTTGGACCGCGTGATGGGCCTCCAACGAACACCTTTTTTAAATACATCTAAACCCCAACAGTCGTTTGGGCACATCTGTTTTGGCTCATCATGCTCCTCTTGTAACTCACGACGGCGTTTGGCCCGGCGACACTAGTCGAGTGCAAAGATAGCTCTAGGCGGAGTGCTCCGCTCACAGTCGAAAGGTTGTCCGTTTAAAATACCGATTGGAGGTCAACTCAGCTCATCATCCCTCCACGGTGCAGATTGCTAAGAAGTCAACAGTGGCTCTCTCTGTCGAGACGTTGACCCCTACCCGAATAAAACTATAAACGCATTTTTTATTTTACCAGGTAAAGCCCCATTGAGCTATATAATTGCTCTTTTTCAGAAGCAACCTGCACACAAATGATGGCTCAACATCGTGGTTTATCGTGTGGAAATTCATAGCAGCCAGATACTCTAAACCAGGGGTCGGCGACCTGCGGCTCTTTACGCACCGCGTCGTGACGTAAAGTGTACTTATTCACATGCATTGCGGCTCTTTAACTATTGAGTTTCGTGACAAATTCGAAAAAAATGGCTCTTCGTGTTATTTTGGTTGCCAACCCCGTTCTAAACACGTGACGTTGATTCTAAATGCGGAGCGAAACGCTGGGACATCGTGCCAAACGACACACAGCGGTTAAAACCCGTACACACTAAACTATAACTATTTGTTATTTGACCAGCCAAGGCTCATAGAGCTATGTAGCTCTTTTTCAGAAGAGACCTGGCTATCACCAATGATATCTCAACGAATTGGCTTATCACGTGGAAATGTATAGTAGCCAAATACTCCTAAACGGGTGTTTCTAAATATGGAGAGAGAAAAAACGGCGGACCCGGAGAAAAATCCACACGACCACGGGGAGAGACACGCAAACTCCAACTATAGAGCGAGTGTCGGGATCGGGATCGATCCCACGACCTCCCGCATACCAGGCGAGGTAGTTAACATCTCCTAGCCACCGCGATGATGATGATGAGAGACACGCAAACTCCTACTATACAGCGGGGGTCGGGATCGATCCCACGACCTCCCGCATACCAGGCGAGGTAGTTAACATCTCCTAGCCACCGCGATGATGATGATGAGAGACACGCAAACTCCTACTATACAGCGGGCGTCGGGGTCGGGATCGAACCCACGACCTCCCGCATACCAGGCAAGGTGGTTAACATCTCCGAGCCACCGTGGCGGCACGCCCCCCACAAGCGCGGGGGCACCCTGACTCCTGGCGACGGCGCTGCCCTCTTTCCAGGCACCGCATCTGTGGAGCAGGTGGAGCCGACGCCGTTCGTTGTGGAGTGGGTGCCCGACATCCTGCCACGCTGCAGGATCGGCGAACTGCGAGTGAACTTCGAGTACGGCCACCAGCGCAACGGGCAGCCGGAGCAGCGGGAGCGCCCGCTCGAGCCCACCGTCGCCGACGTGCTGCTGCAGTGAGCGTCGGCGGGGCGGCGGGGTGGGGGGGCGAGACGCTGACCGCCGCCCGTAGGCCCCCGGGGGACACCGCCGGCTAGCGTGGCCGGCGCTGCGCTGTGACGCAGGCCTCGCTGTTCTGGGTCCTGCCATCGCGGGGCCGCCGTCGCGCACAACCCTGCGACGCGTCGGAACTCTGCTGTGTCACAAGCCCCGCCTTCACGTCCTTGCCACCTCTTGCATCTTCCAGCCACGAGATCTTCTTTTGAGGTCACGGCGTTCCTCGCCGGTCACATTGGGGCCCCAATGGTCCCGCACCTCCTCGACATCGCGGGCGCTGCCGTCGGACGTTGCACCGCGATGGGTACCGGAGCCGCACCTCCGATTAGCACGGTTGGCTACGTACGGTGCGGAAGACGTTCAACGTACAGCACGTACGTAGTCAAATCCTCTGCTGTCACCTGTAAAGACATCGCAAGGCACAATATCACATGATCCGTTACCTTACTCGTAATTAAGGGCCAATGCACGAGGCGGCTCCATACTAATTACAAATATGTTACTGGCAGCCACAGTCATAATACAGTTGCACAAAACGTCGGTGTTCCATGCCGAGGCAGACAACGGTTAGCGTGGCAGGTGAGTGAGAGTTAACGAGTTAAAATTCCACGGCTCACAAGCTTTGGCCACTTTAGTGTTCCGCTGCCGTTGCCGTTTGTAGCCGGTAACATCATCTTAGGTGCTGCACCAACGTGTGTGGCCCAACGCAAACATGTCGCTCGGCAACAGAACACCTCCATCCTGTGTGTTCTGTGGGAGCAAAAGTGCAACGGTTAGCGCTACGCTGCGCTACGAACCCGGCCATCCCAGTTCAATTCCCGCTCATGGCCAACACCGGTGACGATTATCTTGACCGGTCCTGGGCCTCCCCTAGGTCGACTCAGCCCTTAAATTAGTACCTGGTGCAGCCGGGACACCCATCCCCTCGTCTGCCGTGGCGTTCTTCATATATATACTCGTTAACAGCACTTACCCCAACAGTCTGTTAAGGGTATACGGGGCATCTGTGTCTCGTAAGAACAACCACAATCATTGGCTGCCATGGCAATCAGCTTTGCAAGGTAATTTCACGTTGTGGAAAACTACAATTAATTGGTCATTCCGGGGTCGAAGTGAACAAATTGCAACAAAAGCACAAAAGGAGACCTCAAGGCCATGAAATGTAAATCACAAATAGCGGCCAAAGACAGAGCGCCGAGTCGATGCCTGTAGAGGTGTTCATAGCGGGTGCCATGGTCACACTGTGACCCCCCCCCTGGAAACGAGATTACAACTTCCACATAGCTGCGCCCTTCCCCCTGCATCTTCGATTAACACAGTTGGCCTCTTACCGCGCGAAAGAAGTTCGACTTACACACGTACATTTCGCGCTATGTAAGGTTCGCGTCAACGTTGGCAGGCATCGTTACGTCCTCCTGGGTCACGTGCAGATCCCGCGGGAGCAACTCGTGCGATCGGTGCGTGCCGGAGCGCCGTGAATCACGCGGTTTGCCTTCTACGCGGCGGGGTTCACCTCCGTCGAAAATCATCGCCTCGGACGCGTCTCAGGGGGGCACGTGTGGCGCCCCAACTCGCTGAAACCACGAGCGGAGCCTCGGCGCATCGGCGTACCATGGGAACGAAACGACGCGCCGCCATCAATGCTCGGCGCCGCCGCCAATGCTCAGCACCGCCGACGTCTTCCACGGCCGTCCGGACCGTTCGCAGCCCCGGGAGTAAGTTCGTCAGCAACAGCTCACCAAAGAGACCAACTTCGCCGCGGTCGACTCGAGGGCCCCAGCGGTACGCCGCATTGCAGTTGTTCAGCTGGTCCATACCGGCGCACAGTGTTACGGCTGCAGAGTTAACACAAGGGCCGCCATCGATGGTTTCTGGAGCACTGGCTTTGTTGTTGTTGTTGCTGCTCCTGCCGTGGAGACCGGGAGATCGATGGACGACGTTCGGTCGCCGCGTCGATGATTGCATTCGTCGTGATCCCTCACTCAACAACAGAGTGGGGGGCCGGGTGACGGCTGCCACCTTCCATTTCACCGCGGTGGAAGGGCTTTGTGGATGGGCTTTGTGGATGCTTGTGTCCACCAGGTGGCGGCCACAGAACTTGACATAAAATATTATCCGGGAATTTACATAACGCAACACGTGGGACAGATTTTAGAAATTGTACACAGTTCTACACTGATGCTAACCCTTTCCCGTTCTGGGATGTCTGCAAGCTGCAAAGTGGGTCTCATTCACCGCTGAATCTCGGAGCGTGCAAATATTCGTTCGTTTCTCAATCCGCTTGTCCTGGTGAGGGTTGCGGCAGCAGCATGTTGAGTAGGGCGGTCCAGACCTCCCTTTCCCTGGCGACAGACTCTAGCTCTTCCTGGGGAATTCCTAGGCCAGCCGAGCGACGTAGGCCCCGCCAGCGTGTCCTGGGTTGGCCCCGGGGTTTTCGCCCAGTAGGACGTGCTGTTGCCCGGTAGAGTTCTAGGGTGAATCTCCCGGGGAGCATCCTTACCAGGTGCCCAAACCACCTCAACTGGCTCCTCTCAATCCGGACGAGCAGCGGCTCGGCTCTGAGGCTCTCCCGGATTACCGAGCTTCTCACCCGATCATGGAGACTGAGCCCGGCAACCCGCAAAGCCTCATTTCGGCCCATTGTACCGATATCAGCCTTTTGGCCATTACCCAAAGATCATTACGATCGTAGGTGAGGGTGGGAACGTAGATCGACCTGTAAACTGCGAGCTTTGTTCGAGAACTTAGCTCCCGCTTCACTACCACGGAACGGTACAGCGCCCCGAACACTGCGGATGCCGCACCGATCCGCGGGCCGATCTCCCGCTCCCACTTACCATCACTCGCGAAAGAGACCCCGAGGTACTTAAACTCCTCCACGCAGGGCAGCTGTTCCCCCCCTCACCTGGAGAGCAGACTCCACCGCCTCCCGGGAGTGAACCATGACCTCAGATTTGGAGGTGCTGATCCTCATCCCAGCCGCTTCAAGCTCGGCATCAAACCGTTCAAGTGCACGCCGGAGATCACAGACTGACGAGGCAAAGAGGACAACGTCATACTCTCCATACCATGAAAATCCCAAACAGGAGTGGAGACAAGACGCACCCTTGGCAGAGTCCGAGGGCGCGCAAGCGGTTCAGAATTAATTTTATTTAGAGAGGCGTAGCGCCGTTGTTTTTAAATATGTTATACTGTACTCACCGCAGAGAACTGTAGCGACACGACCGCACTCTACGATAGCTGGCGCCAGACTGTGCCACGTGCCCTCCGGCATGGCCTCTTCCTTCCGATTGACGTGCGTGTACATCATGGAAATGGGAAAGTGTTAATAATGGTCGAGGCACCTTGGAATGGGGAAAGTTGTTTTGTTTCTGTCCAATGATTGTTTGAGCATCGGAACATTCTTGACTTTTGACCACTGAAGCATATTTCCTGAGAGTACTCTTCAGCTCGCAACGATGATTACACTTGTCTTACAATGTCCTGGTAAAATACATAGGCACACCCTTTACATCCTTTTATTGCAACACGTCTGTAACCAGCACCAGGTGCCAGTTGCTTTTCAGATTTTTACGTCACATAGTGGGTCCTCATTGGAGCATAGTGCACGTTTTGTATGTGTAAGTACATTGAACTTCTTTCGCACCATACGTAGCCAACCGTGCTAATCGAAGGTGCGGGGGGAAGCTCAACAAACTAAACACAACAAGCAGTTCTAAAGAAATGAGCTTTCAATCTAGATTTATAAGTACATTTTCAAATTGTTCACAAAAAAGAATAACGATACGTCATCATCATCATCAGTCACGATCTGTTCACTGCTGGATGAAGGCTTCCCTAAGTCCCCCCCCGTACCTCACCATCTCACGACGTAACGATGTCACGAGCTCCTCCATGTCAGCTCGTGACATTTTATTTTCTCTCCATGGCGGTCGTCCTCTTGGGAACGTTGCCTCCATCAGATGCCACCGTGTCATTAATAACGACTCTCGGCCGGCTTGACTTTCCTCAACCGTCGATGTGTCTCCCATATGTGCGTGTCCTCTGATCCATGTGATCCTCTCTGTCCGTGCGATTCCAAGCATGCGACTCTCCACACTTCTCTTTGTACCTGTTATCTATTGTGTACGTACAGTCCGTTCTCCTGTAAAATCGCGTAACAATAAATAATGTAGTAGAGGGTGAAGCGCAGTCCGCGACAACACGTGAGATGCACACGCAGGTCGAACAAAGACTTAGGCGCGTGGGTAGCATCTAGAAGCATCCAGCAGCATCCCGCCTTGTGCGATGATGATGCTGATGATGATGATGCTACGCCGATGCAACCGTACGACCGCTTATTCCTACTTGCACGACGTAGTTCCGTTCACTCAATCGCGTGATATCCAATTCGCGTTATGGAAACACATGGCGCTATAGGAGAGCAGACTGTGCACTATATGTTGAACTTCCTTTGCCACCGTACGGAGCGAACGTGCTGATGGTTTTCTTTGTCATTGTCGGTATTTGTGACCCTTGCTATAGCAGGGGATATGCAGCCACTGGAACCTTCTCGAGGCCTGGTGCTTTGTTTATATTAATTACTGACTTCGGTTTTCCAAAAGCACTCCTTACCTCTTGTTTTTCTCTCATCATTTCTGGCTACAATAATTACCCCAAATGTGTGAATATATACCCTGAAGCGTTTCCAGTTGCGTTCCTCCGATGAATATTTTCAGTTACTTCTATTCCTGCCAAACAAAAGGTCGAACACATACTTCACTCGGTAACATCATCGATTAACGACAGCAGGGGATACAACACAACAGAGATTAACTACATCATCGCAAGCTCTGGGAGCGTTAGAGTAGCATAAGGAGATTGATGATTTGGCGATTTTTAAATTATTGGTTTGAATAACATGCGACAAACACTCTTTGCAGACCACGCAGCGTCTGGCTGTGGGAACGGAGGCGGCCGAGTTCGAATTGGGGGCGCTAACGGTGGCCGTGCGATGTTAACTCCCTTTCCTGGTATGCAGGAGGTCGAGAGTGATATCCCGACCCTGACGCCTATATAGTTGGAATTTGCGTGTCTCATTACCCGTGGTCGCGTGTATTTTTCTCCAGGTCCTCCGGTGTTCCCCTCCACATTTAGAATCAACGTCACGCGTTTAGACCATTTGGCTACTGTGCATTTCCACACGATAATTCACTTTGTTGAGCTGTCATTTGGGATGGCTAGGTGGCCTCTGAAAAAGAGCCACATAGCTAAGTGGGGCCGTTTCCTGGTCAAATTTAATATATTGCCAATTATATATATGACAAATAATAAAAGGTGTTCCGCCAAGTTACGTATAAAGAGACCGATTTAAGTTTCTTAAGAAGTGGTTTTGTGATATCCCCTTTTGGGAGTTGTTCTCTGACGCAGCTTGGCCCACTACTCGCTACCAGAGTTCCCGAAGAGGAACTTATTTGTGTCGTGCCGTGATACCGAAAGCAAGTTTAGAATATAACTGGGGGGGAGGGAAATAAGCAAGAGATAAAACCATTTTCGGGTTTCACTTTGGAGTTAAATATCCATTTGTTCACTGATATCACCATCACAAGCTTCAGTCGTTATTGATAGCGCTTCCCATGGGCTTCTTGTCCTCCTTACACGTGATCAATTCTCAAAATGGTCTCCCCACATTTCCGCATTGAACATTGGGGGAATCAAGGCAGGTTACTCGGCTTCATTTTCATACCAACATTTCACCCCGATGCTGCACACTACTTTTTTCTAGTTTTAGGTAACCAGATATTTAATATACAAGTTTCATGTGTCACTTGTGGTCAGGTGGACAAAATCTCTTGAATTTCTGAAAATATCGCTCGTCTGGATAGGTGTCACGTGGTCTCAATGACCTTACTACCTGTGATGTCAGCGACCTTTCTGCTCAGCCTTGTTGCATCCTTGTCCCTGCATCCGTGTCGGAACCGGAGTGCACGCCGCAGCACGATGTTTCTGACTGCAGACGCCAGTACGGCCACCCAGTTCGAGTGTTAACAGGCTGACTCAAACCGGTTTGTAAGCAAAGTGTGAACGTGAAACCAGTTTGACAATGTTTACAAGCACCATCATGTTTTTTTAACGGCAGCAGTCTATATACGCTCCTCAAGAATAATACGTGAACTCCATCCGGTGCCTGACACCCAACAACAAACAACAACCGCCATTCGTCACGAAGTAGCGGTGATGTCACCACGGCGCTTGTGCCTGGCTAGGTACACTTTGAGGCCACGTGAAGTGCCGAACGCCCGGTGGCAGGAGGGTCACGGGACAGACCCAGCAGGTGCCATGGGCTCGACTGAGATGGCATTGCTGCACGAAGTCAGTCCAACCCATGGCCTAACACCCACAAACCTAGAACACACGCAACCACCCCAAGGGCCTCGTCACAAGACACTGCAGCTCCCATCACGTGGCCTCACAGAGCTCTCATCTCTCCTTTTTCTGGCTCCTTGCGGAAAACCTGCCACGGTACAGGGCGAAGTGTCAGAACGCTCACCGAGGGAAGAGACGCGGTGGCTTCTGTTCGGGCCCATCCTTGCAGAAGGCGCATGCTAGTTGGAGGCAGACGCACTCGGTGGGTTGCCCACGGCGCCGGCCCTCTGGCGCCGCTCGTCCCGAGTGGCGATACCCCGCCGGTCCCGGGTGGCACACCGCCGGTCCCGGCTGGCACACCGCCGGTCCCGGCTGGCACACCGCCGGTCCCGGGTGGCACACCGCCGGTCCCGGGCGGCACACCGCCGGTCCCGGGCGGCACACCGCCGGTCCCGGGCGGCACACCGCCGGTCCCGGGCGGCACACCGCCGGTCCCGGGCGGCACACCGCCGGTCCCGGGTGGCACACCGCCGGTCCCGGCTGGCACACCGCCGGTCCCGGCTGGCACACCGCCGGTCCCGGCTGGCACACCGCCGGTCTGGGCCTCGCACTCACGGACGTCCCCGCCATGGCTCCCGGCCTTGAGCCGCTACTGCCGGTGTTCGTGTGTGGGTGAGCGTGTGGGGAGCGGCGGCGCAACGGTGCGCTACGAACCCAACGACACGGTTTCGATTCCCGCTCACGGCCAACAGAGTAACGATTATCCGAACCGGTCCTGGGCCTCCCCTAGGTCGACTCGGCCGCAAATGAGTACCTGGTGCGCTGGGGCCACAAAGGCGGCCGGGGGCGGTGTTGGCCACCGACCCCCTCGCGCGTCGTGCCGGCCTTCGCAGGTGCTCGCTAACAGCACTTGTCCCGAAAGTTTGTTACAGGTCGCGTTCCAGTGTTGTCGACAGGTGTTGCTGATGTGGCCGACGACGCCAACATCGGCTCCGCTGTGTCAAATGTTCTCTCGTCTGATCTTTCATCCTGGCCCTTTTGTTTCATCTTGGGTTTCTGCGTATATAAAAAAAACACCTAACATCAACGTGCAGCAGCAATACCATGGTGATACAAGGGCACAACCCCCCCTCCCCCTCTGCAAATTAACTCTTTGCAGCATTATGGTGCTATAGCGTGTAAACGTGTGTTAACTAAAGCAAACGGAATGCTATTTTGTAAACGTGCCGTGCGTTTTCAGCTTGGGCTACCCTCTGTATGAAGATCTTTTATATAAGGCAAAGGGCCATTCAAACAAAGCCTTAGGGGTGGTCGGAACAGCTCTGCCTTGCGTACATGGCCTGTTCTACGCAACAAAGTATCTCCGGATACGCAGTGTTGAGAGTGTAATGTGGCTGACCTGTGTAAATATATTTAATACGAAACGGCAGGATTGTATGTCGGCTGCCTGCAGTGGAAGAGAGCTGCCCCCGCTTGTTAACTCTGTTCATTCGTAGAGACGTGTGTTTTGCACTGCTGACTCGGATGTGTCCTTCAAGGAAGTCTAAGAGTCCTTTGTCATTATGTATTCAGTGTTTTAAAAAAATGATATTCCATGAGTGATGATAACTCCAGCACGTGCTTCACATACGTAAAATAAAATATAAATTACCGCATAACTAACTTTTACCATTTTTTTTTTACCAGTGCTCGCATTTACATTGCACCACCAAATGACATCGATGGCTGAATTTTACCAAAGAATTGCACTGTATCTCCCGAAGCCAAGAACATTTCATCCCGTTCGTCACCGGAGGAAGTCGGAACCAGGCAGAGCGGTTCAGAAAATATTCTCGTAATTTACGTATTGGTTTGTAATTCTCTAAAATTGTCCCTGATGCCGGCAAACAACAGCTTACACTGTTGCAAAGAGTGCCACAGGAATATGATCTTTAAGGTCAACATGTGAGATACCACGCGTCTTTTTGTTGTCAGCTGTCTGAGCATTGTGTACAAAACATGACATACAGCTGAATAAATTGATAAACATTTAAGTTTCAAATTATCCGCACGTGTAACCACAAATAGCCTCTAATTGCATGAGCAATGAGGGCTGACATGAACGGTGCAACCATTTGAGTGTTGTAAAATGCTTATAACTAGTAGCTGCTGTGCTCGTATCAAGCAAAAATAAGACACAAACGTACCTATCATACTTTGGGAAGGACATTTCGCGCGCAGCATAGAGTTCTCACGCAAGAGAGACCTCCCGCGCCTTTCAAGATCTGACAACCCCAACTCCACGCTGGTGCCAAAGTGGAAACGAAGCAACCAACTCTGAACTTGGGTAACCATCCCCCAGGGAGTGGTAGTCGGTACCTAACGGGGCTCTGTCAATCAACTAAGTAACGATCTTTTTTTATTTTACCAGGTAAGGCCCACTGAGCTACCTAGCTCTTTTTCGTAAGCGACCTGGCCATCACAAACGGCTCTCAACGAAGCGGCGTATGTGGACATTTATGGAAGCCAATTACTCTCGACGCGTTTTGTTGATTCTTAATGTGGAAGGAAAAACCAGAGGATATGCAAACTCCAAATATACATCCTTCTGTTTCTACTCATGGGTGACAGTTCATATGACAATTCAAGGTTGTTCGTCTTGAAATATTCTTAACATATCTACCATGTGCATAGTAGAGTCTCCAACTATTATTCAATCAAATATGTTTTGGCCTCTCTCTCTGCTTTTGAGAAGGGCCATTGGCCAAACCGCTGGCGATTATGTATTCATTCTATTTCCCTTTGAGGGCAGTGTTGACGAACGTGTTGCCTCTGTGTTGCTTGTGCTTGTGTCGCACTGCCAATGCAGTCTCATAACTGGCACTGGTTCCGCTGCTTGTTCCTGTCTGGCTTGTGCCGGAGGCATGGCAGGGGTAGGAAATTGTTTGGGAAGGTATGTATGTTAAACTATTTAAAACTTGTATTTTATTTGACCAGGTAAGGCCTACTGAGCTATATATAGCTCCTTTTCAGAAGCAACCTGCCCACACATGATAGCTCAATGAAGTGGATCATCACGTGGAAATTTATAGCAGCCAAATACTCAAAACGCATATTTCCGAATGTAGGGCAGAAACCCAAAGGGTCCGAAGAAAAATTCCACAATACCACGGGGAGAGAGACACGCAAACTCCAAATATACAGCAGGCGTCACGAACCCACGACCTCCTGTATACCAGGCGAGGCAGTTAACATCCCACTGTGTTGAACTTTTTTTCCACCGTACGTAGTCGACCGTGCTAATCGGAGGTTGGGCGGACGGGGGGGGTGTGGGGGCGACATTCCCAAAATGTAAACTTTTTAAAAAAAATAGAGCCCTACATTAATAACAATGAAACCCACGTCACGAATTTTCAATGAAATACAAATATTCAGATTGGGCAATCG